ACCATTTTCTATTTATTTATTGCAAATTGCAGTAGAGCAGAACAACTTTAATTCCCAGTTTTAGCTTGCTGGAAGGGGTTAGGATTACTTGAAGATTCTCCTCTGATGTAGGAATGTTCAGCCCCTGCAGTTGTTCGTTCAGTCATTCATCAGCTTCATGACTTGCATTTCCCCCAGGAGATCAAGTCAGCATTTACGTTCTTCTTCTTCCAGTGTTATCCCCACAACAACTGAGAGATCAGGTGAGAGGCAGTAAATGGTCCAAAGCCGTTTAGTGAGCTTCAGTGACTGAGGATGGACAAATGTGGACCTGATCTTTCATCTTAACCACAATACCCCACTGAATCTCAGGCCTAGTTTTATTACAGACAGTGACTCTCCAGGCTGAACTGATGAATGGAGTGGAAGCAGAATGGTCAGATCCTTTAGTAAGGACAAGCTTTGTCTTCCTGAGAGTTAACATAGAAAGAAGATATTCTGTTTATGAAATAAAACTTTAGAGATAATTATATCTCTTCCCTCACATCTAACAGTAAATGATTTATAAATATTACTCCCATACTGTCTTCCAGCACTTTACAAATGTTTTTGGTGCTGATATATATTTACTTGAAGAGAACAAAAACTGGTCAAATGATTATCTCAATTATTTTCAGACTTGAATATGCTAAAATTAAGTGATGCTTTTAAAATGCTTGCATAACTTTAGCGGGATGGGTTTTCTTGAAGTTTGGGCTAACATTTCGTATGTTGCAATATTTTTTGCAATCTATATTATTGTTTAGCCAGTGAACGAGGAAAGATTGGTAACAATTAAGAATTAAATCAATCCATAGTGTTAAGCTTATTTATTAAATATGCAAACCTAAAGCTCAGCTTCTTTTTCTATTAAAATATTTAAAGTTTCTTTGGAGGTCCTTGATATTTATTTCTATTTTTTCTCTATTTTTTTAAATACCCCATAGTATCTTAGAAACAACTGTTAACATTTTGAAAGAACTAATGTTTTTACTCCACTTTCAGTGCAACTATGATTAAACTATGATTATAACTATGATTATAACTATGATTAAAATTCTCCATGGCTATGTTCACATAATATGCTTCATCTGGTTACTGAATTAATCAATTTTCTAGGTTCTCACCAAACGTGATAGGTTCTTTCAGCCCATTCCTCTAACCTATCAAGATTATTTTGAATGTTGCTTCTGTCTTTTAATGTATCAGTTATCCATACCAATTTTGTATCACTGGCAAATTTGATGAGCATTTGGAAATGCATGAATTATAGGTGGGTATAAAATAAAATTAACGTCTCAATGGATTGACTTTTTTATATTGCTTTTACAATTACATCTTGGGGGGGTTAATTAATGCAAGGTGAGGGGAAAAATCAGATCATAGTAAATAAGAACATTATTTTTGTTGAGCATTTTGAGGATGGCAGTACACTGAATATACCTCCTGAGAGGTGTGATATTAGCTATAGTATATTGGAGTATATATAACAGCAATATACCCAGCTGGCTGGGGAATTCTGAGAGTTGAAGTCCACACATCTTCAAGATCCTAAGGTTGAGAAACACTGGTATATTGACATGCAAGGTGGCCTTTAGATTGGAAACCCGTTTGCATGGAATAAAGTAAGCATGCTTGAAGCATACCTGGGCTTTGTGTTTGTAGCATAATGGCCAAAATGTGCCAGAACGTATCAGTACTGCCCTTACTGTTAGATAGGAATGATAAATGCGGCACAGATTTTATGACTAAAACTGGCAACCTAGTCTACTCTTTCATTTTCTATGTGAAAATCTCACTTGGCCAAAGCTTTGATGGATAGAAGTTGATCTATACGGGAACATCTGGTGGTGACCATGACATATAGTATGGAAGATGATGACTAGAAAGGAAAGTAGAGAAATAGCAAAGAACATTAATTAATATATGTAATGAAATGGGGAAAATGGTACATTGTGTGTCTGAAACTAAAATAAAGAAGAAGGATGTAAATGATCAGAATGGAGGTGGTCTGAACTTGTAGAATGGAGCTGATGAATACATGCAGGGAGGAGAAGGTATGGGGTTAATTTTGAATGAAGAATAGAATATGTCAAACAATATAAATTGGTGACATCTAGATTGTTGTGAGTAAATCTGAAAATAAATATTCATAGTTTGTTGATCTCTGCGTTATACTTCAGTGAATGGTGATAATGAGTTTTAAGAAAATTTTGCAATATTTTGAATGAATGTGATCTAGAGGGAAAATTATTCTGTTAAGCAACATGAATGGATGGAGGAAACAAGTTGAGAGAGTACAGAAAGTGTGACTGGGCCATTTGGAGACCCAAACATGAATGAGAATGGTGATTGTTGGTGGGTAGTTGCTTAGAAAATGCTTTGTTTCAGACCCAGGGGTAAAGTATACTTCTATTGGTGCATACACTTGGAAAAGGAATATGGAAATAAAAGCATAATTATGAAAAAAATAATGAAGAATACAAGGGTGATTAGAGGTTCTGAATGTGAGATAAACTTGTTTTTGAAGTCAAGAATGAATGGAAATGGACATGGAAGGAGAAAAAAGTGAAAGAAATATGAGCAAAAGTAGAACGGCAGCAGAAAGAGAAAGTGTGATTCATAGATTAATCTCCCAACATAAATGAATGGAAAGTCAACATAAGAGTATGTTTTTACTCACTTCGTTATATGGAAATAAGAACTGGATATGTCAGGAGAAATATAAAATTAAGTTGATTGCTATGGGAATGGAGTGCTTAAGAAGTGTGCATGGTGAAAGAGAGATAGAGCAAGAATGGATGGATGCTGAATAATGTGGATTGAATGCAAAAAGTGAGTGACTAGTATAAAAGAAGTATGTAGAGATGTTTTGATTCTATAGAGAGAATGAATGAGCATCAAATCCCAAAACAAATACATGAAAGAAGATTAAATGTGCCAAGAGGAAGGAGAAGACTCAGAAAACTGGGTTGGATGTTGCAGATGAGATCCTCAAAACAGAGAGATGAGAAGTTTAAGGAACAAAAGCCAAGGTATGACCCAGTGTATAAGTGTGCAGATACACGGATATGAAGGTATGGAGGAGTATAGGGAATTGTGTTGGTGTAAACTAGTTTTATCCATGTTTCTGTTTCTTTTTCTTATCTCAGATCTTTAATTTCATTGGCTTCATTTTTCATACTCTTTCTCTGCATAACATTACTTATTTTGAAAGAAAACAATATGATGGATATATATGTATATGAGAGCCAGTTTGGTTTAGCAGTTAAGGAGCTGGACTAGTCCTGCCTTAGGTGCAGAAGCCAACTGGGTAACCACGGGCCAGTCACTCTCTCTCAGCCCAAGGAAAAAGAAAGCACGGGCAAGCCACTTTTGAACTGTTGCCTAGAAAAGTTCATGGACTTGTCTACGTAGTTGTCACAAGTCACTTCTTTGAAGTGTGTGTGGGTGGGTGTAGAGAGACAGAGATGAGAGAGATAGAGATGAGACAGAGACAGAGACAGAGACAAAGAGAGAGAGAGAGAGATCTTAGGGATTTCATGTGTCATGCTAAGGTTTTCACTACATCAACCTGTGGTTTCCCTTCCCCTTGCTGTTAAGTTAGGGCTCTTTAAAACTATAGAGAGAGAGACCTCAAGAGGAGAAGGCCTACTTGATGGAATCAGTGATGCAGAAGCCAATATGCCTTGTTCTGTGATGCAGACACACAGGCTGTGAGGTGAGAATGAAGCAAAGACCCCCTGTCCCAAACATTTCCTATTTTTTATCTCTTTTCCTGAGTTGTGAAGGCCTTTGTAGATTAAAGGATGGTCCTGAGTTGAAGGTGGGGCAGTCTTTATTTCCCCAGTGTGTCATGTTTTTGACACTTGCTTCTCCTCTTTATGTTTTATTCCTCTGGATGTTCTTACGTCTGGTGTTATGAGCAAGAACAAATAACACCAAAACAACAACAACAAAAAGCTGCTCCAGGAAAATATCCATGCTGTTTAATATGCAAATTTATGCCATGCATTTTAATGAGAGATCATGGGAGGGGAGAGGGAAAGGAAATGTAAATTACCAAAGCTTGCAGAAAGAAGGACCCTCAAGCTTTCATGTCTTACTTGAACATACATTTTGGATTGATGTCTTTTTTTATCTTGTTCTGACTCAAAGGATGTCTGAAATTTATTTTTGGCAAACATGGCTGCCGTGATAACTAAAATAACCCCAATAAACATATGATATTGAAAACTGAAAATTTCACATTGCTTGTGCTTGACACATACAAGGACAGAGAAGATCTTCCCAAAGTACATCCAATAAGCTACCAATAAAATACCAACCACTGCCTTCCACCCACCAACCAGAAGTAATGTTTTAGTACCCCTGGGAAATGATCAGCAAGTATCTTCACCTTCCCTCCTGAAGCTGGCTAAGGAAAAAACTAAAGATGGCAATCAGGTGGCAGGCTGCACCCCTTCTTCCTGCTTTCATTGCTGATACAGTTTCTTTCCACAGTGAAGAAAGAAAATTAAATATTGCACATGCAATGATTATGATGCACCCAATTTCTGGAAAAACCACTACTTTCCAGCATCATATTCTTCATCAAACTTTATTTCTTCACCTGTGTGACTTCCACATTGGAATTAGGTAATATGCAACTATCATTCTAAATGTGAAATCATGTATTTCCCTAGTTACAACTATGCTCCTTGAGTAAAGACTTCATGCTGAATGTGGAAAACTTTCCATCCAATATTCTCTTAGCACTTCATTCCCTAGTAATATTTAATGGCCTTTGCTCTAAAATCAGAGGTCTTAACAAATAGCTATAGCCTAGCCTAGTTAACAGTCTATCCTTGTGTAGAACTAAACCTTTGCACAAAATAAAAAAGCAATACTATCTCTTTTCAGTTTTCATATTTCAGTAGAAATAGTTTTGAGACAAGGAAAGTAGCTATTTTGAGGATTCTGCCTCAGAAGAAATGGCTTCCTTACATAAGTCCCTCATCCTGTACAGCATCACCTGAGAAAGTGGTGTTGGACAGATTGTTTTCTTTCCTTTGTTGTGTCTCACAGCTTATGTCTATATTCAGTTCTTCCTTCTGCTGCTGCACCTCATGCGGTACAGACGCTCCCTTTACGATATGTCTCGACTCTGGTGGTGGTTCTTCTTTTTCAACTTCTGACAGCAAAGGCATCGTGAGCCATTTCTCTTCTGGTTCTAGCGTTGCTTCTTTCTCTTTTGAGGAGGCACTTGCACTTATGCACCGTCCATCCTGTTCTTCTGGGTTTCCATCCAGAGAATGAATGTCCAGGTTGCCAACTATTGTACTGTTCTTCTTTTCACATGGTTCCTCAGAGCTATTCAAAGGCAAAGAGGTGAGTTTTGAAATGATTAGAGGCTGTTGTACTTCAGTACAAAGATGATCCTGGCAATCTTGCTCCTCCTTGTCATAAATGCCCTCAGGCCCAGAATCTCCACAGTCTAGTTTTCTTTGTTCTTTCTCAAAGCTAATACTCCCAAGTGGTTTGCTGAAGTCTTCTGAAACAAGAGATTGTTGGTTGTCCTCTTCTTCAGTGTCCTTAGATCCAGAGTGTGTATATTCCAGCCCTCCATGCTGTTCCTTTCCTTTACTGTGATGGTATGTGTTAATTTGTTCCAATAAAATCTGTTCCTGAGTCTCTGGGTGTTTCTGCTCTGTAATGTGGACCACAGCATCCTCAGGCAAAGAATTTATATTATCTAACATTTGAATATTTGTTGTATTGGTTGCATCCAGGGACAATATGGTGCTTTCTGGTACAGTGGTTTGTTGATAAAAGTGGTAGGGCATAGACTGATGGTCTTCTACCTTGATAGTAGCTTGCACGTCTTTCTGTTCTTTTTCACAGGATGTACTCTGACATGGAAAATTAATGTCTTGTGGTATAACAGGAGATGGGTCTTTCCAATCAAGCAAGTTTATACAATTCTGCTTTAAGTCGTTGAAGGAAGCTTCTGTCACAGTGTACAGATGTTGCTGTACTCCTGCCTTTTCTTCTTCATGGCTTTCACACATGGTGGATAAAATATCTGGGTATTTTAGTTCTGTGGGTTTCTGTGCCTCATTTTTGAGTATGCCTTGACAGATTTGGTCTTCTTTGTATGCATCTCCCTCAGATAAAGAATTCAGCTGCCTAATTTGTTTCTCCCTGCTATAAGTAATACCCATGGCAAGTTCTTGCCGCCCTAAAAGATTTTCTTCCTCACTGTATAATACAGAGGATTGATTGAGCATTTCCTGTAAAGTAGTGATACCTTCAGAATCAGTGCTGGTGCTTTGCTCTTCTTGTAGTATCTTTTCATGCGTAGTCAATGTGCTGTCAAATTCTAATTCTTTAGATTGCTGCAGCTCCTCAGGTAGCATGTCCTGGTGGCCCTGGTTCATCTCCTTCTTACAAGGTATGGGTTGCAATATTAAACTCATATGGTCACCCCCTTCGTTGTGTTTTTTGTAGGGTACTTCCTCAAACAATGCATTCAGATCAGGTTTTTCAGAGTGCCTGTTTTCTTTGGCTGACATAATTGGATAGTCTTTCACCTCTGATAGCCCATCCACTGAATTGGCATTTTCTGTTTCCAGAGGTGATATTTTCAAGTCTTCTAATACCTCTTTTTGTTCACAATCTTTGGTCTGTACATTTGCATTTGTTCTGTCATCATATCCTTGTTTTTCTTCCAAAAAGATGTCACCTAAAAGCACAGGTATATGGGGCTCTTGAGAATTCTTGTCATGGAGCTGGGTTAGAGCTGGCTTGATGTTCTCCATTTGTAGACTACCCAGGTCACCTACAGATGTCATGCTCCAATTGTCTCGATCTCTGTTCTGCTGTCGTTCTTGAAACATTATATCATCAAGGGATGGAACATTAGTATTCTTTTTACCATTTTTTTCCTTTCTCTCCTTGGGTCGCCTCCCTGGCAGAGACATCCGCCTGCAGAGATAAAAGGCAGGAATTAGGGATTTGAAAGTAGTGGTGATGACAGCTGTTAATAATAATTTTACTTCTTTGCTCAACCTTCTCTCCTAATGTTTCAACAGTTTAGCAAATGACCTCAGTCAGTATGCCTAATTATATGTTGGTAACTGCTTAGTAGTAGATTGCTACATTCATTTCTCTCCTTTCTTAAGCTTTCCTTCTCCAGGAAGGGCCATCTCTAAATTTTGAGTGCTCCTAGATGAGATTTGTATTTCACAGTATTGAGCCTTTATTCATGGATTCTTCTAATGGGTACAGATGACCTCATCCTCCATTTCTACCTTCCCATTTCTCCCAACATGTTTCATTCTAGAAAAACATCCATTAAGAAGGTAAAGACAGAATAGTTGTCTAAGGTCTGTTATTTGATAATGTTAGGAATCTTCCATCTGGAATCATTTAGTCAGCTGGTGTGTGAAAGGGCAACCATTTGTTACCTTGTAGGAATACAACAACACAAGCCTGGAGCCTGGAAACACCCAGCGGACTGCTCTTCTCCAGTGCCATCTGTATCTTCTTCCAACGCACTTGCACTGCGTACAACCCTCTCTTCACTCATGTCCCAAGATAGAGTAAAAAATAAAAATAAACCCAATGGTGAGTCAAAGAAATTTCCTGATTTTTAGCCAGGACTTGTACTCTACAGTCTTACAAAAACAGATGTTCTTGCCCACTGACAGCGTAATGGCATTTACGAGCTACTGTAGTAAACTGAACACTCCAAGGGACATCTTTATGACCTCATCAGTTCTGGAAAGCTGTGGAGTCACCATGGCAGCATGGTGGTGGATCCAGAGATTAAACATTTGTGCCATGAAATGACAATAATGATTTGCTTGCTAGGAATGTTACTAATTTAGCCTTATGAATGAGCGACCTTGACATCTGTATAATGGTGAACGTTCTTTCTCATGACTTATCCTGCTAGGATATGGGATGTATTGTTTTGTCTTGCTACAGTTTATGATGGTTTTCATTTTAATGTTGAATAATTATGATTTTGATAAGCCGCTCTGAGCCTTGTTAGATGGAGTGGCATATAAATCAATAGATAAAGTATCCTTCTTTTCTGAAGACTTTTAGGAATAAGAATAACTTTCAAGCAGTTATTCACATCCAAAGGATGGGATTGCTTTACCCAGTGTGGAAAAACCAGTATGGTATAGTAGTTGAGGGATCAGGCTTGAATTAGAAAGACTTACGTTCAGGTTCATCCTCAGCTGTAGAAACTTAACCCATCACGTAGGATTGTTGAAGGGGAGACTTAGAGGAGATAGTAGTTTTGCCCTGGAGGATAGATTGGATATTACCCTCATTAACGAACAAATAAATAGCACTTTGAGGAGAGATGTTTCACCCACCATAACATGCAGTGTTTCTCAACCTTGGCAACTTGAAGATGTGTGGACTTCAACTCCCAGAATTCCCCCCCCCCCAACGAGTCCGGGGGGGGGTGGGGGGTGGAGTTTCGCAAAAATTCACAACTATCTGCGAGGAGAAAAAAAACTAGTCTTGTTGGGGGGGGGATTCAGC